AAATATTTACTTTTTTAGAAGAATTTAAAATCTTACTATTTTTAAAAATCATTTCAAATTCTTTGAAAAATCTAAATTCAAACTAGATATTTTACCTCAAGGCATTTGAAATTCTTCAAAAAAAATTTATTATCCCATTTAAATTTTCATCCAAATATAGTCTACTTTAAACAAAAAATTGACGCTATGACCTATATCATATTTTGCATATTGTATGCGTTCTCTTCCTATAAAATACCCTTCCTACCAACCATTTCACACACAATTGCTTCTTTCTGATTAAAAATCATATCGGTAAGAGATGTCTGATACTACCATGTTTATTTAATATTATATATTTGCAACTTTGTCAATATTATTAAAAAAAAGAATTGGAAATAATTTAATAAGACATTATGGATCAAATTATAGCCTTTATTTAACAATCAAAACAAGATATTTCACATCTAGGCATTTGAAATTCTTAAAAAAAGAAAAAGTTACTCAATTTAAATTTTTCATCCAAATACACTTTACTCTTTTTAAAAACATTGATGCTATGGCCTATATTGTATTAGACATATTGTATGCATTCTTTTTTCATAAAATACCCTTCCTCCTAACCATTTCACACATAATTGCTTCTTTTCAGTTAAAAGTCATATTGGTAAGAGATGTTTGATACTACCATGTTTATTTAATAATATATATTTGGGACTTTGTCAATATTATTAAAAAAAAAAAAAAAAGAATTCTAGGTAATTTAACAAGACATTATGGATCAAACTGTAGCATTTATTTATGATGAAAAAAATGATTGAAGGTCCTTAAGGTATGACATTTGAAGGGTATAGTTAAGCCCTCAAAATGTGGCGTAATAACCTGATATTCATTATTGTTTTGCCTAAAGTTAATGTTAAATCTCTGGTAATACTTTACTTCTTTTATTAATTATGCAACAAACATAGAAAATTTAAAAAAGAAAGAAATTAAGGCAATTAAGGGATAAAAGAAAATAATTATGGGAGGTTGAAGATATGCACAGTTGTGCTTGACTTATGCACAACCATGCTTCAAGAGAAGAACATCGTTATTCATGACCAAGGTACTATGCTTGGTCGTGCTTACCAATATGCACAATTGTGTTTCCTTCAAAATACCAAGCACGCTTGAGCTCCCTAAAGCATGCCCAAGCCTAGGATATTAAGCATGGTTGTGCTCTTTGATATGAACGGCCATACTTCATGAGTTCGCCCTAATTTTTTCCTATATAGGGATTTCCATAGCACATTGTAATGATCTAATATTTATTTAGCATATAGTTTTAATTTTACATTTTCTCCCTTTCCCTTTTTCTAGGTTTGTGATGTAATTGTTTCTCGTGAACCTCCAATGATGAATTCATGAATTGTTTCTTTTAAATTGTCATATTATTTTAATGTTTCTAATTCTTATCTTAGTTAAGTGAGAGTTGTATAATCAAACTCTTTTACTTAACGAGACCTTAAAATAATTTAATTATTTAAAAATTAGCATGATCAAGTTGTTTTGTTAATTTTAAATTGAATTAATTTATTGATTCACTTTTGTGTGCTTATACTTTGTTTTTAGAATAAATCACTTACGATCAATTTGGGTTTTTCTTAAAATAAAGACTTTTGGCTTCCTAGAAACATAGGATTGTCAACAATTTTAGAAGTACAATTGGTAATATTATTTATTCATTCATGAATTTTATCTTTAGGGAAAATTGAGGACAATAAGTCACAACCCTAAGGTTTTTATTCTTTGAATTTCAATCTTTTTATTTTCTACTTTAATTTTCATCTTTATTCAAATCAAATTTCTATTCAAACTACTGGAAACCACAATTAAGTTAGTAATTACTTGAACCTAGTCTTTTGGGTTTGATATCTGGACTCTATCGATTGTTACTACCATAGTGAGGTACGCTTGTCGTAAGTGTATTTTACACGTAACAAGTTTCTGGCGTTGTTAGCGGGGACTAAGTTCCAAGCAATATCAATTGAAAAAGATTTTGTGTAACATTGAACTTTGAAGGGGGAATGGGTTCTAGTATGTTGGTGGTGGTGGACAAACTACATTTTTTCTAAGTTTTCTTCTTATCCCCTTAGATTCCTAGGAACATTACAATTGTGGTTTTTGTTGTTGGGAATAGTTAGAGCACTTGAGGCCAAGAATTAGAGTGGGTTTGGTGCAAAGCTTCCTTGGAGCATAGAGTTCTTTTCTTTCATTTTCTCTCTTCTCCTTCCTCTCCTCTCTTCAGAAGTGCAGAATTGAGGTAAGCGAAGTTGGATTCAGTTGTCATATGAGTTGTTTGATTATTTATTTTTCTAAAAAAAGCTTAACCTTGGTTGAGAACCATTGAAATTCATGGTTGAGTTTAAATTGTCTGCATGTTGAAATTGAGATTTGGGTTTCTTGAGAATGGGGAGGAATTTAGGGTGATGAAGGATTGAATGTTGATGTATGTTCCTTTTTCCTAGATCGATTGATGGATTAGCTTGCCTTGTAATCATGTTGCTTCAACTAATTCCAATGGAGAAGAGAGAAATTTTGTGTGTGTGTGTGTTGGTGTGTGTGTGAGAGAGAGAGAGAGAGAAAGAGAGAGAGAGATATAGAGAGAGAGAAAAAGATAAGAGAGAATTTGAGAGAAACTTGCAACTCAAGTTAACTCAAATATGAAAAACGAGGGAAAAGAAATGACGTGATCATTATTAATAATACATGCCAAAATAGATACAACAACTGAAAACATCAAAGTTTACATAACTTCAAAGCTGGAATTCTGTAGGACGTGGTGCAAATCTTGACACACCTTGACTTCATAATTACGAAAGGTTACATATCTTCTGATGGTGGATGGTTTGTGGATGGTATGTTCGTGATTGAAACTTGAATCGATAATACATTGACTACACAAATCTTGCTTCTTATTATTAACCTAATTAAAAGCTGGTAATTATTAAGAACAATGGTTGCTACCAAGATGCTCTTTATTCTTTATTCTTTCTAGTTTTCTCTTGACTATGTATGTATCAATATGTCCATGAGGCATAAGGAAAGTTCATTTAGTAAAGTACTTGGATAGAAAACAACTAGCACACTATAGTTCTTATGGACATATTTACAAAAACATTGTCTTGTACATAAAATTTAGATGAATTTTTAGCAAACCATTCTGTTATGTCCCTACATATTCCATATTCAAACAAGTGCTTAACATGTTTACCTAATGGAACAAACAATATTTTATGTCACAGATCAACAAGGAAAGAAGATAACGGATAGCAAAACAATTGACTTCATTGAAAAGGTATTCATCTTTCTCCTTTATATCTGATATATGTTTATGGTAATATTAATATATGTAAAACTGAACCAATTAAAATTGTTGATGTAATAAATTGAAGAATTATTCACGGTCACCAAATATCTACATGGCATCCAGAGAGAGAAGTGCAGGTGTAATAGGTGTTGTTATGTATTAAACGAGAGATAGAGAGAAATAATAGGTGTTGATATATCAGTCTAAATTGAAATAGCATAATAAATTTAAGAGCTACTTAAATGGAGCATTTTATTTAAAATAAGTTTTATGTATTAGGGATGTAACAATACATGAGCGCCAATTCTTATTTTGTTCTTTGAAAAAACATCATTAGTAGTTTAAAGCAAATACTTGGTTCACACCATATTCAAAAGAATCAAAATCAGATATGACCTGCACCCTTAGTTCACACAATATTCAAAAGAATCAAAATCAGATATGACCTGCACCCTTAGTTCACACAATATTCAAAAGAATCAAAATCAGATATGACACGCACCTGCACCCTTGTCTCATATGAGTGTCAAATGCAGTTCCAAACTAGGAAAGAATTTCTAAACTCACTAGGAACTTCCTCACTTGATCTCTAGGACCTGTTTCTCAATTTTTTTTTGATAAGCAGGACCTGTTTCTCAATGACTTTCACTCACATAGATCAGAGGCTTTGCCAAATGTTGTTTGCTAATAGAGACTATGAAAGTGTTGGAGTAACAACAACAATAGATGTTGATTGTTCTCCTTATTTTAAGCCTAAAATCAGAATAGAACGTATTGTAGAAAAATGTTACTTAGTGGTTAGTGTGAGATGCAAAGATCGGGCAAAATTGATGTTTGACATTGTTTGCACTCTCACTAACATGCAATATGTTGTCATTCATTCTACAATCTCATCCGAAGGGCTATATGCATCCCAGGTACACATCATTTGTTAACAATAATATCCATTTAGTTTTTTGATTTACCAATCACATATAAGTATTACCCATACTTATGTGTGATTGGTAAATTAAAGTACAAAATGGATATTAAATCCTCATGGCAAATGGAGCTAAATTCAATGGATTATATCCTCTTTGTAATATATGATGAATTACTATTATCATTATTATTATCTTAAAGAAAGACTATAATAATGATAACAATCATAATAATAATAATGACAATGATGATAGTAATAAAGACAAGATGAAGTTAGGTAACAATAACAATGAGTGATAACAATAGTGACAAGAAATGATAATAGTGGTAGTTAAAGTAAGTGTTGGTACCACAACTATGATAATAATAGTGAATAGTTTTGTACAAAAATTTATCCTATAGATTATAGGGTAACAAATAACAAAAAAAAAAAAAGACTTTTGTCCTATCTTTCTCTTACTTGTCTTATCCCATGATTTTTTTCTAAATCAAACATATAACAATAATCTTTGTCTCAACATTTATCAGCACCATGGATTTTACAAATCAAACGGAACCTAAAAGAACATTGATAAAAAGGGGAGGGGCGAATAAATAAATGTATTAAACCTCACTTGTATCAAGAGAAAATCTCCTGACTAACTTAAAATTCCGGGAAAAGTTCGATAGAAAAAGAAGCCAGACATATTTCAGACAAGCTGATTGAAAAATAAAATAAAATTATGATAAGATATTAACTTCTGTCCACATCTGACAAATGACAATTACACTGTTTCTTGCCATAATCAGGCAACCAAAGGCGCAAGAAATTAAATAATGTTGACACGAGTGCAACAGCCTTAACATCCAAGAATAATAAAAGAATTTTGACACAAGATATTTATATTCTTAGTACTGCCTGCAAAATTACCATCTAATTGTTCTTTCAGTAAACAAACCATCAACAGAGATTGAAACTTAATACAACATAAATGGGAGAGGGGAAAAAACTTTGTCATGAACAAAACCAAGATACCATAAAATAATAAATCAAGATAGAAGAAGATTTGTTCATTCCATCATGTTATCCTCCCCATCTTCATCCTCACTCAGATCAAGATCAGCTAGCAACTCCTCCAATGGAACAGAAGGTAGCTCATCACCATCAGTAACTGATGCCATCTCTGATGGCTGGTACTCTGCATTTCGGTACAATGATATGTTGAACCTCATATCAGGGTTTTCTTCCAAATCCTTCAAGAATTGTTCATATTCTGAGACCATTTTGTCTTGATCAACTCTAGCCTTATCATCAACCTCCATTTCAAGCGATTTAAGCTTCCATGCACGAGGCTTCCCACGTTTCTTTTGGCGCTTCTCTTCATAACTCTTCTTTATTAAAACTGCTTCAGGAAGGACAAGTCCTCTGTACTTGTCCAACTCCATGTCATTACTATTGGCCCCATACAGATCATAACCAAGAGCGTAATCACCAGGATTTAAAAGATGGCCCAGATGAGTCTTGACATTAAATATAGTGTCATTCTTTCCAAAATCTGACACACGGGCTACTTGAGCATCTGCTAAACGATATTTTGTGCCACCAATAGTAACCTCAGATGAAACAACCTCCACATCTAGCACTATATATTCCACCAATTGTCTGCTTGTAAGTAACGACTTGAAGGATGTCCTCCAGTACTGATCAGCATCTAAGAAACAGTGCCTCAAGGTAAATGGATCAAGCAAAGCAATGCTGTTAGTAACCTTGGTGCAAATCACAATAGGACCAATATTTCCCAAACTAACAGCAACTTTAGGAGGCAGACAGATTAAATCCTCACGGCAAATAGGGCTGAGTTCAACAGAAAATGTATATTTGTAGTTGTAGTTATTGCTCTTTGGATCATGAGAAACAAGCTGCTTATCATGACGGCTCTTTACAGGAGCAACTTTCCCTATAAACTCCACAAATTTGACTCCATGACTCCTATTAGAGAAAAAGAAATCGATACCTTGTTCCATCTGCTTGATTCTTATAGCACTGGCAGCAGCACCATGCTTCAGAATCAGCTGCTCCAAATAAAAGAAAGTACGCCTGTGAGAAACATGTTGCCTGAGTTGCACAGCAGCAACCCACTGGTCAGGATTAGCCTGGACCCTGGTACAAGAATCACACATATGTTCTTGTTGAACATACTCCACAGGATAAGACTGTTCAAGTATCGCTCCATTCAGAACCTCCTTCTGAACCTTAACCCTGACTTTTACCCTCTTGGAATGGGGCTCAGTCCAAATAAACTCAGCATGAACCAACCTCACTTTATTCGAATTCAAATTCTTCTGCAGTTTTTTTAAGCAAAAAGTCAGCAACTCCTTCGATTCTAGCTGCAGTTTGACCCAACTTCTTGGTGGCTGCAAGTAACTTTCACACTCAGGGCAATGCACCAGCACGAGGCGCTTCAGTAATCCTTCTGTAATATCAACTTCAGACCGCAAACACTTCACACACATATTAGCAGCATTTGGTTGCATAGGAATCCCACACTTGCAACACAATACACTGCCAATTGTTTGATGAACCTTGAACATACCAGCTTCCTCTGCCATACCTGATGAACCAAACATATTGATGAATCCAAGATAGTACTCCCTGTTCCAAATTTTTGCAGGAAAAAAAGCATGAGTACACACAAAAGGACTAAAGGAAAGCTTTCAATTAAAAAACTAATACTAAACATAAGAAAAAGGGTTTTGTATAAAGAGGGAGAACTTATAGAATGCAAACTGTTCTTGTAACAATCCAAAGCTCATTAGGGAAAACGAAGACACATGTATTTATTCTTTAGAACGAAGAATAATGATAGTATTATAATAATAAAAATAAAGCATTCAACATAAGGAGTAAAAGATCAGCGAAACGGGCACCGAATACAAGAGCTAAGAACAAAGAACGGCAACAAAACTGGAAGGAAAACACATAAAGCAGAAGGAGAAACCCCAAACCCTAAAACACATAAATAAATAAAAACACCAATAAGGAAAAAATCAACGTTAAAGAGGGATTCAAAAAGTGTTCGATTTATTGATAGGTGCAATTTTTTGTGGTGCAGCAAACAATCAATGAATGAAAAAAAAAATGAACAGGAAGCGTTTTACCCATTGGAATTTTACAACTTTCTGAAAGAAAAAAAAAAAAAAAAAAAAACACAATACACCAACAAGCATAAACCCATTGAAACATTTAAAAAGATGAAATCTAGGTAGAATCTGACATGGAAAAATTAGGAGAAAAGAAAGTGGAGAAGGATGGAAACAAAGCACTGAGTGATAAGGAAAACAATGAATTGAAAGACTTACTGGGAAGGATGAATGAGCAGTTTCTGTTGAGACCAAGGTGAAGGTGGAGCCGACGGCGTAGGAACAATTATATGGGAGACACCGAAATAGTGTGACGAAAACCTAGTTGAATTTTAGAGGATGTAACTAAGTTGTCTTCTGGTTTTGGGATTAAACCCAGACGAGGGCTAGCGTGGGGGAGCTACACATATCGTCCACGGTAGGAAACACATACTGACCGTTAGATTTCTCGATTAAATTCGGTACTTGCGATTCTAAGGATATTTACCGGATAGACAAAATTTTAAATTGATATTTTTAAAAAGCAAGATTCACTTTTTACTTTATTTTATTTTTTTTACCGTTAAATCTCTTACTCTTTACTCTTTTATTAATAAACTAGCAGAAAAAAAACACTTCCTGCATTAAAAAATATAAAAAATTAATTATTAAAGAATAAAATTATTCATGTAAAAATAAAAATAAAAAATAATTATTGAAAGTTATAACTTAAATTTGATTAAAAAAAAATTTTATAATTTTTTTAAATAAAAGAATATAATAGTAAAAAAAATAGAGATCAAGGTAATTATCTAAAAAAATATCTTCTTTATATATTAGTATAAATATAACAAATACATATTTAATTAAATTTAAATTCACTATAATAAAATAATTAATTACAAGTTGATCCAGTAAAAAGAAGTATACGAGTTCGTGATTATAATAAATAATATAATTAAATTAAGACTTAAATATTTTTTAATTCTTATAAAATGAGTTATTTATTTTATTTTTCATTTCTCTAAAATTTAAATTATTATTTATCTTAAATATATTTTTAATCTATATAAAATAAGTGTATTTTGATTTTAATTTCTATAATTTTTTTATTTTTTTATCTAAAATGTGGAATTATTATTTTTGTCCTTAAAAATGAATAAAATTTGATTTTGGTTCTACAAAATATATATATATATTACTGTGATGTCTTATGTTAGCGATGTTGGAGGTGAGATGATGTATTAAAAGTGTTGATGTTCCTATTTGTGTGTGTGTGCGTGTGTATATATATATATATATATATATATTCTTTTAAAATTTAAAAGTTACTATTTTTAACTCTTAATATTCATTTTAAGATAAATAAATAATATTTGTTTAAAAAATTTATAATTTTTTTAAAAATATTGTATACTAAATTTGAAAAAGAGAATAAGGAAATAAGGGGAAAAAATATGCTAAAAAATAAAATAAAAGATTTAACAAATATTTACTCTAATTAAAAAGATTTTCCTCTAATTACAACAACTAATATGATATCAAATATAGTTATAGATGTCACTAAAAATAATCATTGACTATAATAATGGTATTAATAAATTAATATCAGTAATATTATTAGTATATTAATTCAAAAATTTATATTTTCATTGATATAAATTAATATATATTAATATGTTTTTATAAAATTATAAATAAATATATTAGACAAGATAAATAAATATATTTAAAAAAAGTTAATAACAAATAGTAATACATCATGTCACATATTAGTGTTGTATATATATCAACAAAAATTTTAACAAGAATAACAAAAATTACACAATTGTAACAATTGAGAAATTAAAATTACTCAATTAAAAATTATGAGATTATAATAGTATAATGTGATATTTTAAAAATTAAAATTATTCAATTAAAATTTAAAAGATTAAAATTATACAACTACATATTTAAGAGAAAAATATATATTTAAACCTAAATAAAACACTTTTTTTCAACTAAATTGTTCTCAAGAATAAATAGAATTTTATAAAAAAAATAATACTCTGATCTAACTTATTTCATTTAGTTTCGGTCTTAATTATTTATTTGAATCATAGAGTTAGTTAAAATGCTTTAACTCTGCAGATATCTACCAAACACATGTAGAATAGTGTATCGCAAATTTAGTAGCTATCCACTAAAAACATGTGTAGAATAGGGATAAATTATTTGTTAAATAAGCTCAGATTCATATGCGAATATTTATTGGAAAATATTGAAATACATGTTAATTTAAATGCTTTATTAAAGAGGTTAATTCATCAATAAATATGATAAATAAAAAAAATTAAATTAGATAAAAATTAAAAAAATATGTAAACACTCATGTCAAACAATAGTTCTAAAAAATATTTTTTATATATTAAAGTTCGCAGATTTAATTAGTATTATAATTAGTCTTCAAATTTCAAGAAAAAAATTCTTATATAAAATAATTGTTTACATTTAATATAAGAACTAATTAATAAATTTTTTTAATATTTTAATATTATATTTTTGATATTTTGAATTTAAAATTTATTTGTTTATTTATTTTATTTGTTACTACCATGAACTTGTATAATGTTTTGTAATTGAATATTGTATAAGGTTTTGCAATTGAATATTTTATTATAGTAAATTTAAATCTAATTAAATACTTATTTGTTTTATTTATTATTATATAATATTTTATTTAATTAAAATGCAAGTAATAAAGAGTAAGAGATTTCACGGGAAAGAAAAAAACAACACATGAGTTTTGCCTTTTAAAAAATATCAATAAAATTTTGCCCATCGGGTTAGTACTGTGATTTTAATATAGAAATCCAATGGTTAGTATATGAAATATTTTTACATTTCTTAAATTCATGGGCTTTAATTCAAAAACATTAAGGAGTGATTGATATATGAAATATTTTTATATTTTTAAAAATTTTAAAGTGAAAATCTTAGTTTGTTATATTTGGTAATTATTTGAAAAAAATTTCAAAAATATAATTTTTCAGTAACCATTTTTATCTCACTTTTTTACAAATATATTTCTATGGGAGGAAGTGGGAATTTAACTTTTTCAAGTTAGCAAAAAACTTTCCCACAAAAACATTCCTGTGAAAGGGGTGAGATGTAGGAATTTAATTTTTCCGAGTTAGAGAGAAATTTTAATGTATATAAAAAGACCATAGTATCATTTTTTAAAACATAAAATCTTTCTCTTTCTCTCTCTCTCTCTCTCACTCTCATTCTCCCTCTCTTCCTCTCTCCATTTCCCTCTCTTCCTTTCTCTCTCTTGTTCTATTTCTCTTTCTCCCTCACTCTCACTCCCCCTCTCTTCCTTTTTCCCCTTCCATCACTCTTTCTTTCTTTCTCATTTTCTCCTTTTATTTCTCTTTCTCCCTCTCCCTCTCCCCCCCATATCTTTATTTGTCTCTCTTTCTTGTATTTTATTATTTCTTAACCTTGTCAATTTTAATAATATTAATAAAATTTGTTTTATTTCTTTAGTTTAATGATATTTGTTAAATCTTTTTTAATTAATTTATTTATTTATTTGAATGATATATATAGGGACCTTGATGACTTGGTCCAACTTTGTATAAGGGTGGAACAACAACATTTAAGGAAAAAGTCTTTCAAAAAAGATAAAACTCAATTTAGTTCTTATGCCAAGAAAGACTACAAGAATGAGGGAAAAATTTTAGAATATAACAATAAAGAATCCTCCAAGAATTTTGCAAAGGAAAAAGAAAAAGAAAAAGGAAAGAACATTTCCACTCCAAGTACTAAAACTAGTGACATCAAATGCTTTAAATGACTTGGAAGAGGCCATATATCAATTTCCTAACAAGAAAGTGATGGTCTTAAGAGGTCAAGATATTTATAGTAGTCATGATGAAACTAGTTCAACTACTTCTAGTGAAAGTGATTCTAGTGATGATGACCATGAGATGGAAAATGCTTATCCTTATGATGGTCAATTGCTTATGATTAGGAGGCTTTTAGGAAGCCAACCTAATGATGGACATATTTCACAAAAAGAGAACATCTTTCATACAAGGTGTAAAATTTTAGTCAATGCTTGTTCTCTCATTGTAGACAGTGGATCATGTTACAACTGTTGTAACACTAGGTTGGTGGAGAAGCTAAATCTAACACCAATTCCCCATCCAAAACCATATCAACTTCATTGGCTTAATGAAGATGGGGACATAATACTGGATAAACAAGTGAAAGTCAAGTTTTCAATAGGTAACTATGAAGATCACGTGGTTTGTGACATAGTACTTATGAAAGCTTGTCATAATTTGTTAGAAAGACCATGACAATTTGACAAGAAAACCATGCATAATAGTCTTACTAACGAAATTACTTTCACTCACAAAGAAAAGAAATTTGTACTTCATCCTCTATCTCCTTCCAAGGTAATAGAAGATGAAGTACAAATGAAATTGAAAAGAGAGGAAGGAAAAAAATGATAAAATAAAAAAGAAAAGAAAGACAAACATAAGTCTTCAAAGAAGAAAAAGGAAGAAGTAATTAATATTTATTCTCTAGAAGGTCTTCAACAAGAAGAAAAATTCAAGAAAATACTTTTTATTGAACAACCTTCTTATGTTCTTCTTTATCGAAGTGTGTTACAATGTCATAACTTATCTATTGAACCAAGTTCTCTGCTTAATAATGGGGTTAAAGATCCTTTGGAGGAATTTGATGATATATTCCCTAGTGAGGGTCCAAAAGGCCTTTCACCTTTTAGGGGTATAGAACATCAAATTAATTGTGTCTGGGGCTAGTCTACCAAATAGGTCAGCCTATAAGACAAATCCCCAAGAAATAAAGGAAATAGAGAACCAAGTTCAAGAGTTATTGGATAAGAGATGGGTGCAAAAGAGTTTAAGTTCTTGTATTGTACCTGTGTTGTTAGTCCCTAAGAAAGATGGAAAATGGATAATGTGTTGTGATTGTAGGGCTATTAACAACACAACAATAAAGTACAGGCACCCTATCCCAAGACTTAATGATATGCTTGATGAGTTACATGGTGCTACCATATTTTCCAAAATAGATCTTAAAAGAGGATATCACCAAATAAGACTAAAGGAAGGTGATGAGTGGAAAACTGTTTTTAAGACTAAGTTTGCACTATATGAGTGGTTGGTCATGCCCTTTGGGTTGACAAATGCACCAAGTACATTCATGAGGCTTATGAATTATGTCTTAAGAGAGTGTATTAAGAAATTTGTAGTTGTTTATTCTAATGATATTTTAATATATAGTAGGACTGTAGGAGTCCAGATGATCATTTAGGACATCTTAGATAAGTTTTGTTGATCCTTAAGAAAAACCACTTGTTTGCTAATGTATATAAA